CTCACCTTAAAATGGCAGATTTGAGTAGCTGGGAAAGAGACCAAAAGGCTGGTGAAGCCAAAAATAGTCATTCTTTATAGAAAAAGTATGCCAGGTCCTGGTCTGGAGTGTAGGTAAGTCAGGCATTTATCTGATCTTGGAGACAAAGTACAGTTGTAAAATTACCATCTAGAGAGACTATCTCCTCATGGAGATCAGGAAAGGCCACACAGAACAGTTCACATTTGAGACGATCTTTAAAGAAAATGGAGTTAGGATTGCGCTGCTCAGAAAGCAGGAAGAGGCTCACCAACAGGCCAGGTGCCAAAAGAGCTTCTGCTGAGTTGGTTCTTTGTTAGGGACTTTAAAAGCTGAATTTAGTTATTTAAAAAATTGGAGAAAGTAATTCTTTTTTTTTAACTTTTCTTGACACAAAGTCTTAAGGATAAAAACATCGCTAATAATTTTATGATTTAGGTTTGTTTCTAATATAAAATGTATTTCTTCTGAAGATAAATCTCTTGCTGTCTAGAGCTCTAGAGTTGTTCTAAGTGTAGAACAGTGTCCTTGTTTTTAATCTCATCTTCTTTTGTTTTACGAATACTTAATTTAAATTATTAGAGTGAATTAATTACCACCTCCATTTGGCTAAGCCCATTTTAGTGTTTCTCTGTCCCCTCCCACTACTGAAATTATTATCACCATTTGACTCCACCTCCCCGCAAATGCCCAGAGGCTTCTGTGCATAAAGTGAGTGTCCAGCAATCCGTACAGGAAGTCCAACTCCATACCTTGCAAATGCCCTTTTTAGACTCTAAACTCTGTATTAGCGAACATCTTTACTAATGTTGTAGCTGTTTATTGTTGGAATTGAATCTCAAATTGGTTTTATTGTGTTCTGTAATACTAAGGGAAATACTTTAACTACTATAATAGTTATTAGTATTAATGACTGGTGCTGTTTCACAGGTCAGTTGCTGAATTAAGCTCAGCTATGGGTTCATAAATGTAAAATCATCAAAGCTTGCACAGTGGTAGACTCTGGTTTCCTTTCTCTGCCCATGGTTGAGCAGGTTAACTTGTTGTTACATTGTTCGTTGCTAATTATGAAACGGATGCTTTGCTTTTTTTTTTTTTTTTAGATCCCAGTTACGTCTAAAGAAAGTGACTTTCCTGATAAGACCCTCTAAAATTAGAAAGTTGTAGAATTACTTAGTAATATATGTCTTAATAATTCAACTTGTCATGGCAACATGCAATTAAAATTTCCCTTTGGGACTAAAGTGAAAAATCCTCATTTCTTCTAAAGAAGTTTAGCCAATACATAATGAGAAGAATAATTCAAGTAAATGGAACTGCATTTGATGGAGAAAAGGAAAATAAAAGCAAAATTTTTAACAAGGAAATTTTTACTGCATTTACAGTTTTTAATCTCACTTATTAGGTCTTCTTTTTGTTGTTCCCAATTACTATTATTTTTTATTTGGTAGAGAAAGAAGTATTACATTTCTTTCAGGAAACCACCACCTAAGATAATCCTTTCTTTGTAGAATAAGCATAACTGATACCAAATATTACTGTGATTTAAAGGGAATATATGCCACTGATACTACATTCCACCAATCTAGTGGAAACATTTTTATCAAGATTAACCAAGGAACAGTCTTTTTTATATATTTATATTTATATCAATATTCATATTGACATTTTTATATCCTTTGTATCTGATTATTTTTATATACTTTTTTTAATCCTGTAGTAAGATGAGTCATTTTGTTTTATAAGCTAGAGTGTAAAATATTGAATTATAGCCCATGGAAACAATTTATTTTCTGTGCATTTTTTAATTTAGTTACTATTGTAACTAAATTGTCTATAGATCATTTACTGTATTTCCTTGATTCTAAGTGGCCTATTTCTTTTTTTCACAGTTAACATCTCTGAAATAAGGATGCACCTTATAGTAGATGACCTATCATAATTGAATTGCTAACATTTTTTCTTTCTAGACGGTTCAAAATATAATGTACTGATATATATTTCACAATCAATAGTGACAGATTCAATGGAGTACTGAGTATTAAGACTACCTCTCAGAGTATAGCATAGTTTGGTAGACTGCCTGTTGTCCTAAAAAGTCATTTTCTTTCTTTTTCAAAATTTTAACCAGACATAGTGCAAAAAAACTAAATTTTGCCTGACCGCCTTAAAGGTTACTGCGCTGCTTTGCTAGGGCATCTTGACAAAGCGCTACAAACTGAGTGGCTTAAACAGCAGTAGTGCATGGTCTCAGAGTTCTAGAGGTGTCATCTGGGCCATGCTCCCACTGAAGTTTCCAGAAACAGATCTGTCCCAGGCCTCTGTCCTACCTTCTCGTAGTTCCTTGGCTTATGCAGCTTAATTCTAATCTTCACCTGGTATTTCCCCTGTGTTCATGCCTGGCTCTGTGCATGGCATTCATTTTATAAGGATACCAGTCATATTGGATCAAGGGCCCACCCCACTCCAGTATGACTTCATCTTAACTAATCACATCTTCAATGGCTCTAGTTTTAAATGAGGTCATATTCTGAGGTGCTGAGGATTAGGACTTCAACATACGAATTTTGTGGGACACAGTTCAACCTGTAACAGTGACTACCTTCTGGTCAATGAGATGTAAGCAAGTGTGTCAGTTTCCAAAAGCCTTCCTTAAGACATAGTTGTCTGGTATTCCTTACTGCTGTTTTTGATTCTTCCTTCATCTTTCTCCCTAAAGAGAGATACTGCCTTAGAATCTGGGGATAAAGGACACAGCCCAGGTATGTTAGAGCAGTGACCTGCAGGAATCTTGGTTCCTGAAAACTTTGTGGAGCACAGCTGCTTTGGGTTTAAACTATTAGCCTTGGGTTTAAGCCACTGTCGTTATGAAGTTTTCTGTTACTCTCAGCCAAACTTAATTTGGCTTGATATTTGAACTTTTCCAGCATCAATTAGAATCTTGGTTTTACCACATGCTAGCTGTGGGCCATTCAGGTGTATCGTGAACTTTATACACCTCATTTCCCCATTTGTAGAAGGAAAATAATTACATCTACCTTTTAAATATCGGTATTAAATTTCTAATGTACGCATAGCACTTAACATAGCACTTGACACAAAAGAGGTTGCTGTTGTTGTTAGAGGATTTTCATTTGAGTGGAAAGTTGGAATAAATGTTTATTAAGGGCCTTTCAATTGTCTGTTTTTATTATTGAAACAATATTATAAGTGCTTGAAAGGAATTAGATATTATCAACTTGCAGTAGCATTCATTTGACCATTCAACAAACCTTTATTCAGCACCTTCCACGGACCAGGCACTGTATTAGGCAATGCAGATGGAGCAGGGGGCTCACAAAATAGTCCCTATTCCTGCCTGCAGGAGGCTTAAGTTGAGTATAAAGCTGCAGAAGAAAAGTGATGGTCATGGTGGTGATGTTATATGTGTGCCCTCTGATCTCATCTGTCTTGGAATGTGTTAAATTGTGGAAATGTAGAGCTGTGAGAGAAAAGCACCATGCTTGACAGAATCAACCTGGGCCGTGGATGTGGTGATGTGAGAAAGCATCAGACCCGTTGTCACTTGTAATGACAGTGGCTTGTCAACACACCTGACATTGAACCTAGTGCATTTTGGTTTGCATTTGCTCTGATTCTTTTTTCTTTTTTTGATCACATTACTTTAATGACATTTCCAGCAATGAAAAGCCAGTGAAACACAACAAGCCATCTGTATCAGTAAATAGACATTCCATGATTTTAGTTTGCAGAAGGAAAAAAAGACTTTTTTTTAGTACTACTGACAACAACAATTACAGTAGTTATGACTTTTCTTGAGTGCTTTATTCTGAATTATATTCCACCAGTGCTGTACATAAGTAGTTGTCTGTATCATCTTTGAAGAGAGTTGTGCTCTAACTTTAAAGGTTATTATTTTTGCTATCTGCTTTTTCCTTCCAGTAGAGTTTTGGATTTTTTTTTCCTTATCTTACTGTTGTTTTCCCAGTAGGAATACTATTTTAAACAGATTGCTCTGTTCATATGTTCTGCTGCTGGAATTGGCATGATTATGTCTGGGCCTGTAGTGGGAGAATTACTGGAAGTAAGGAAGGTTTCAGTTTGGTACAGCTAGAACTTGCGTTTGACCATTTCACAACGAGTGATAATGGTTTAGATTGTCATTTTTCAAACCTAACACTCCAAGCAACAGATTTGTCATAAAAGATATATTTTCAGAAAGAATTATTCAAATTTGCTGTATTAAATTACTTCCTAGTTAGTAAAAGTGAAATGAGTTTATCTTTGGAATAATGTTATTGCAGAAACTGAAAAGCCAGAAAGATAAAGTCTCCAGTGACAGCCTAGTGGGAGACTGGACACCTGTGGCTTTATTGATACGTACTGTCTGAAAGTAAATAAAGCATAGTGCAATAAAGGAACTGCTTTGCTTATGTTTATGTCTTCCCCAGTTTATTCAGTTTATCATTTAGACTGAGCTCTGCTCTTTTCAGTTACATACTTTGACTGTTAGAGCCTAAATATTTATGGAATGAATGTCCGTCCATACCAATTACAATAGCTAACCTTGTCTTTTTACCGAGATAGACGAGGTTTAGGTAATATAAAAGTATACCTTTATCTATTGTGCCAAAAGATTTTTATAATTCAGAGCTACTTGTAATAAATATATTTTCAAAATTAATGGATTATTAATGTAGATCCTGCATTAGAATGATTGCACATTGTTTTATTATTGTTTGTTTGAAATTACACCGTCTGTGATGAACAACAGCAAAAAAACCTGTATGCTAATTTTGTAGCCTACAGATATGTTCAGCTGTGTTTACTTCTTTTTCAGTGCAAAGAATGTCTAAAATATTTTCTGACACTTTATGCCTTCCTTGGTAGGGGGAAGTGAAAGAATCTTATAGTTGTAGTTTGTATTAGATATTAAAGCATTTGCCAAATGTGACTTACAATGATGTCCTATTGAATTTCAGAACCTCTGGATCTTCACTCAAAACAGAAGCCAGTTCTAAATCTACATGCAGTTTGGGTAACCATTCATGGGTGTGCTTGAGCCATTGAAGCATTCCTGGCTATTGGCCCTTGGGATGACTGCATTAATGTGGTATGGAGACTAATTCATTTCAAACCTTTCTCATAGTCATGACTGGGAAGAATTTCATGCTTTAATCACAGGCTTTAGTTCATATAAATTACTGTTTTCTCCTCGTAGTTCAAAAGAAAGTTGCATAGATTTGATATTCTCCCAAATTGACTTTAAACTTTGAAAGAGATGGCATTTGGAGAGAAGGAAGCAGCCAGCATCCTCATACAGCATCATTCCTTTCTTGAACATTGTCACGTATAGCCCTTTTGTGCCTTGAGCAATAAAGGCATATGATGATGGTCATTTATGATAGAGATGGTCCCATGAATGGAGATGAGGAAAGCAGGAGAAGAAGAGAGTTTGGAGAGTAGTTTTAGAAAATTTAGTGTCTATGCTCAAAATCAATATTACATGATAGTGGAAGAAGTGGTAAATTTGTTGGGAGAACAATTATACAGATCTCCCTGGGAAGCAGTGAAAATGTTTGGAGAATCAGACAGAGTCTGATTTCCTGCCAACCACAACTACAAAATGATTACTCTTTTGAATAACTTAAGATATACTTGGAAAAGTAGGCAGGGAAGAAAATGCAAATCTTGATTTTTGCCTTAATAGGAATTGAATAATAACTGGTTTTCTCTAAAATGTATGTGAACTACTTGAATTGGGTAATTATTGAAATAATTTGGAGAATGAAGTCTGACTAAAGGGCAAAATACTGGGTAGAAATTTATAGTGAAAAGGCAAAAAGGGTACAAGATATTTGGAAGAAAGGAGAGGAAGGATAGAGAAATGCTAGTGACAACAAGACATTTTGCCTCCTTTGTACTGTTACTTAGGGCTGACATTTTAATTTTTCTAAAGAAACTGGTTTAGGTCCTTCATTCATTCTATAAACACATGTTAAGTAACTACTATGTTCTGACCACTGTTAGGAGCTCGACATACAGTGATGAACAAGAGAGTTAAAGGGTCTGCCTCAAAGAGCCTATATGCTACACTGAGGAGAAAGATTAAACTAACAAGTTAAGAAATAAATAATTACTTCAATTGAAAAAAATCTTAGAGCATCAAAAGGTATCCAGTTGACCCACCGAGACAGAGGCAAAAGAAACTTTATAAGAAAAGAAAAGAATGCTCAATTTCTTGAAA